CGAGCCTCCGGTCCGCTGGCCGCCGGGCCCCCAGGCCGCGGGCCCTCCGCCGTCTCGTAGGACAAGCCCTTGGCTTCCTTGATGGCCGTGATGAGCTCGTCCTCGGAGATGCCACCCTTCCCCTGCGACTCGGCAGCAGATGGTTCTGTCGTCCCACAGAAGGAAGGAGAGCCAGAGGCGCACACGGACAGACAGATGGACAGAGACAGAAGAAATAAAACAGAATTCCATTAGGGAGATATTTTGCTGTTGCTTGACAAACACAACAGTCATTAGCACGGAAAGAGTCTGTTTCTAGGGCTATGTGGGAAACACAGACCACCTGAACGTAAAGGCTCGTTATTGCTATGGCCCAGTTAGTGGGTGCTTCACATGCCTATCCATCTTAATCTACTATTTTTTTAAAAATGACCCAGCAATTTTTTAGCAACAGAACCCCAGTTGGCTTTCCTATTTCAGTGCAGCCAAGATTTTAGAAGTCATTATTTTAATTTCTGATTCACTCTCTCAGGGAAGCTTTTCAACTTCATAGATTTCATCGGATGATCTGGTGTATATGTCTCCAACTGGGTCCACCGGTATCAACAAATCTGACAGTTAACCGTTACTTAGTGTTCGTGTTTTCTTCTTCTGTTGGACAAAAGTAATTTGGAGCCTTGATTGCATCTTGACTTTGGAGCTTTACATTTCCCCTAAGAATCTCTATTGTTTCTCATTTTAAGTGGAAAGTACAGCTGGTGGAGCAGTGTAGAGGTAGCTTTTTCCTGTTCCACCAACAGGCTGTACAGATGGCCCCAATGCACCATCCCACAGCCGCCCACTGCCCCTCTTCACCTCTCTGCCCCACCCCCCACCCCCAGAACAGCAGAACCCGGGAGTCATCTCCAGTCCCCTGGGTGAGTGCCTGCCTGTGCCTGGTGTTTATCCAGATGGCCTGAAGGCTACACTGGCAATCTTGATGAGCTTTTCCTCCCTTGGATGAAAAGACCTGGGGTCGCCATGACAACAGTGCTCAGGAGCTTAATGTTTGCCTCGCCATAGAGCAGAGCCTTATTTCAGAATGTTTCAACAGTGGACTCCAGTCTCTCATATGTGAGAAGAACTGGTTGCCAAGTCACCAGACAGATCTAAGGAGGTGAGGGGAATGGATTATACATGACCAAGTTCCTTGTTGCTATAGGATTGCGAGAGAACAGAGAATCCAATGCATAAGACGTCTTAGTGCTGCTAGTATTCTATGGAGTGATACTAACCACACATCATTCACCTATTATTGTGAGTCTTCTGTGTCTTAGGCCCTTCTTCTGTGAACTTGGGATATATGAGTGACTGAGACGGGTAACAAGGTCCCTGCTTGCATTCTGATGGGGGGGGCTCAATACATAACACAAAACAAAGATAAGGAAAATGTGCAGTGTGTCAGAAGGTGACGAGGCTGTGCAGAAAAGCAGAGTCGTAAGGGAATAAGGGATGTTAGGACAGGGTGGGATGAGTTCAATGGCTTCCTGTGGCCAGCACTTGAAGGAGGCCAGAGAGTGATCAGGAAACTACGCCAAAAAAAAAGCTCCCTGGGTGGAGGGAGCAGTTACCTGGAGCCCTGGAGGTGGGAGAGGCACTGATTTTTAGATGTGGATAGGAGGGTGGTGTCTGAGGGGAGGAACCAAAGAGGGAGAGTGGAAGGAGAGGTCAGAGACATGGCAGCGTCAGGTCTCAGGAGGCTTTCATTCTGAAAACAGAGAAGTCATTCGTGTGTGTTGAGAAATGATGTGATCCATTTGGAAGTGACTTAACTACTTCATTATCTCACAAATTCGTTTTGAAAGAACTTTTTGTACGATCTCTGGCTGTGCTTGTCTAGCAGTTAGTGCCTTAATAAGTCATGCTCATGGCTCCCTGCTATGAAGCTGTGTTCCTGCCCTACAGCATATGTAAAACATTAGTGCAGATGAAGCCATGACTTCAGTAAGAGCGAACAACTGCACACAAAAATGTAGAGCTGATCTTCATGACCTTGGATTAGACAAGGGGCTCTCAGGTATGGTGCCAAAAGCAGACAACAAAAGAGAAACTGGTAAACTTGGCTTGATAAAAGTTAAGTACTTTTTTTTTTTTTTTT